AGCTCAGCAGGTCTGGCAGCATCTGTGAAGGAGAAAACAGAGTTAACATTTCGGGTCCCAGTTCTGAGGAAGGGTCACCGGACCCGAAACGTTAACTCTGTTTTCTCCTTCACAGATTCTGCCAGACCTGCTGAGCTTTTCCAGCAGCTTTGTTTATGTTCTTGATTTACAGCATCTGCAGTTCTTTTGGTTTTTATTTGGTATGGGAACTGCTCTGCCCAAGACTGCAAGAAATTATAGAGAGTTGTGAACGTAGCGCAGTCCATCACAAAAACCAACTTCCCTTCATTGAGTCTGTCTACACTTCCCGTTGCCTCAGGAAAGCAGCCAACATAATCAAAGACCCCTCCTACCCTGGTTATATGCTTTTCGACCCTCTTCCATTGGCCAGAAGGAACAAAAGTATGAAAACAAGTACCATCAGATTTAATAACAGCTTCTTCCCTGCTGTTAGCAGACTTATGAACGAACGTCTCAGATTAGAGTTGATCTTTGTCTGCACATTCTCTGTAACTGTGACAATTTATTCTACATTCTGTTCTATCACCCTGATCTGCTTTTGTAAAGTGTAATTTGTCTGGTTAGCACGCAAAACGATACTTGTCACTATATCTTGGTACATGTGACAATAATAGATCAAATCAAACCAAATCAAATCTCCTGTTGCCAGAGAGGAATTAAAAAATTGTCACAAGTGCCCCTGCTATTTATGCCCTTGCCTCACTCAACAACTTGGGAAACATTTCATCTGGACCTGAAGGTTTAAGTCTACCTGATCACTAACAGCGTCTTCTCTATCTATGCTAACACTTTAATTGTATCACAGACTTTCTCCCTGATTTTCATTCCCATATCATCCCTCTCACCAATGAACACTGACACAAAGTATTAATTTAGAACCCTACCTACATCCTCCAACTGTAGTCCTTAATGGGCCCTACTATTTCCCATGTTATCTTTTTACTCCTAATGCACCTGTAAAACAACTAAGGATTAGGTTTTAAAAACGGACATGGGCTTTACTGCATTAAAATAGCTATTACTGCATTTTCAGGAAAAGAATGCACATTGAAATCCTGTGGCTCATGCCCCTACATTTTGTTTGGGTGAATGAGTTGCAGAAACTCTGAATTTCTAACATCAATGTTTAAACATCAGCACACTGCTGTCAATTAAAGCAACACACACTATGATCAGAGGCAGGAACACATTATACTCATTCCTTTGTGAGAGTACATTGTGCTGATTACTGCCAATAAAATGTTTGGACATAAATATCACCAGTAAATACAGTAATTTCTTCAAGTCATAGATTACCTGTATTGCACTTGAGCTGGGTATACTGTTTAACCCTGGCACATCTGGTAATGAATATTTCCTTAAAGTAATAAACAGTTGCTTTTAAATATTACTTGTTAACTTTAAACAGCAATCATAAAACGTGAAGATGCAACTGTGGACAAAAATGTGCTGCAACAAGCATTGTCAACATAATTTATACAAAAAAAATTTAATGTACAGTTGTTTTTTTGGATAGAATTGCATTGGCACATTTTAACATTGGTGCTCTTCATGCAACATCAGCAAGGAGAATTGACTATGTCCTAGTCCTCAAAAATAAAAATAAATGAAAAGGGCTATACACAAATTCTAAAATTTCCTTTGACATGAAGAAGATCACCAAAGAAATTCAATCTGGGTGGATGTTTTCAGCCGAAATCACTTAGTCACAAGTAGTAGATAGTTACTCTTTCTATTTAGAGCTAATTAAAACCTGAATAATTTTGTAAACTGTCTGCTTACAAATGTTATTAAGTTTAAGTGTCTGCTTTTCCATATGTTCCATCGGGTGGTCTGTAGTATTTTGGGAATGCCATCAGCTGAATCATGTTGAATGCATATTTCCTGCAATTTATATTCTTCTGTGCATTTTCTATTCGACATCCTTCTCTGGTAAAAAGGAAAAAAATACACCTCATAATACTACCATAAAAGGAAAATGGTTTCATTTATTAAACATTGGCTGCAACATTTTCAATAAGTAAAAATAACTAGGTAATCATCTACATTTATTTAACACAAGTGATGATACATCTTACACAAGTCAATCTGTAGAGCAGACCAAAGTAATCAATTGTTCATTGAATTGGAACTTTTCACTACATAATTTAGTCTCCAAAAGAAAATTTTCATAAGCACAAACAATCATAGTGCTTTGTTTTGTAAATCAAACCAACAAAAATCAAAGGTGCACATTTTTGTTACTCAAACACTATGATGCAGACTTTCTGCCTCAAGCACCAACCCACCCTATGGATATTTAGCATGTCTGCGTCAGGTATGCATAAGTGCTCTGTGGTAGATGGTGGAAATACTCCTGAGAGCAAGAGAGCATAGAACAGTACAGCACAGAAACAAGCCCTTCAGTCTACCATTTCTGAACTGACCATGGTGCCATTCTAAACTATTCCCATCTGCCCGCCTGCACATGGTTCATATCCTTCGATTCAGTTCATGTGTCTGTTTAAATGCCTCTTAAACATTGCTAACGTGTCTGTTTTTACCACCTCCCCTGGCAGCACATTCCAGGCACCTAACACCCTCTGTGTAAAAAACATGCCTCACACATTTTCTTTAAACTTTCCCCGTCTCACCTTAAACCTAGTCCCCCGGTAACTGACGTTTCCACCTTGGGAAAGAGACTCGACTATCCACCCTATCCATGCCTTTCATAATTTTATGTACATCTATCAGGTTGCCCCTCAGCCTCTGACACTCGAATGAAAATAAACCAAGTTTGGCAAATCTCTCCTTATCACTAATACCCTGCAATCCAGGCAACATCCTGGTAAATCTGTTTTGCATTCTCTCAATGACTTGATTGATGAAGGCAAGCATGCCAAATGCATTCTTTATCACCTTATCCACTTGTGTTGCGACTTTCAGGGAGCTACAGACTTGCACCACAAGATCCCTCCGTATATCGAAGCTCCTAAAGGTCCTCTCATTACTCCAAGATGGCGGCGGAGCAGGGTTGAGCCCAGGGCTTGTCCACTTCCACGACAGCGACAACATCGCCAGGACAAGCTGGATATGCTCCATCCCAGCCTGGCGAGCAAACAGCAGGTCCCGGGTGACTCTTGCAGCCCGGACTTGCAGGCTGAGGCAAGGCTTCAGGTCTGTGGCTAGGCCTGGGCACCTAAAGGAGCGGAAGCATCAGGAAAAAGAATGGCAGAGGACCCTGATAGCCAATGACTGGCAGGAGTGTTGGATGGGGAACAGGAGGGACAGAATCCGCACATCCCCAGGCCCATGGCTCAAGCTCAGACACAGCAGTCAAGATTATGGTGGTGGTGGAGGCCCAAAACTGATACCCTAGAGCCTATTTCACAAACTCCAGCTAACGTCAAACAGCGATTGAAGGAGCAGCGGAGGAGTAACAAGAAACAGAGAACGATGAACTTGATTGCAGTAAAATCTTGCATTGTATTCAGTGTTTCGACTTGGCTGGTAGAACCTTGGGTAGTGTTGTAGAACAGAGGGACCTAGGGGTGCAGGTACATAATTCTTTGAAGTTTGCATCACACAGACAGGGTGGTTAAAAAGGCATTTGGCTCGTTTGCCTTCATTGCTCGGTCCTTTGAGTACAGGAGTTGGGAAGTCATGTTGAGGTTATACAGGACATTGGTGAGGCCTCTTCTGGAAGACAGTGTCCAGTTCTGGTCATGTAGTTATAGGAAGGAGATTATCAAGCTGAAGAGGGTATGGATGTTGCCAGGTACGGAAGGTTTGAGTTATAGAGAAGGGCTGGATAGGCTGGGACTTTCTTCATTGCAGCGTAGGAGGTTCAGAGGTGTCCTGAAAGAAGTTTATAAAATAATGAGAGGTATAGATAGAGTTAATGGTGGTTGTCTTTTCCCTAGGATGGGGGATATCAAGACTAGGGGGCATATTTTTAAGTTGAGAGATTTAAAGGAGAAATAGGAGGCAATTTTTTTACACAGAGGGTGGTGTACATGTGGAATGAACTTCCTGAGGAAGTGGTGGATGCAATTACAATGTTTAAAAGACATCTGGATAAGTACGTGAATAGGAAAGGTTTGGAGGAATATGGGCCAGGAGCAGGCAGGTGGAACTAGTTTAGTTTGGGACTATGTTCAGCATGGACTGATTGGACCGAAGGGTCTATCTCCATGCTGTATGATTCTATGGCGCCAAAGTGTGGCTGCATTTTGCGTATAACATGCAAAAAAATTTTTTACTGTATTTTTATACAGGTGACAATAAATCTAAATCTAATTTATTGTACACTTTCCTCTTGCATTTGACTTCCCAAAATGCATTACTTCAGATGTGCCCAGGTCAACAGATAGAAAACAGAAAATCTGATAGGTGCCTTTTTTTTATTTTTAGGTGGGCTTACAATGTGAATGGAACGAAATTATGGTTTATCTCTGTGATATTTCCATGGTCATGCTGATTCTGAACTCATTGTTTCACTCTTGGTATCATCAAAAGTAATTTGCAAGGCTCACTGCAACTATACCAGGCATGAATAGCAAATTGCCCAATAAATCACATGAATTATAAATTGTACTGAACAAGAGCCCGTTGCCTGGCATAATGGCAGCCTAAATAGTGATGCTGGACGTTGCAGCATTGAAAAACATAGGCATAAAGGGTTAGATTTTCCAAGGAAGGGTAATTTCATGCAGATTGCCACACTGGTCCTTTTTTTTAATGAAGGGAGGGAGCTTCACAATTCTGAGATGACATTCCAATCAGAGGTACCTTTTCTGAGCAGTCAGCTGCTATAATCTGAAATTTAAAGGTTCTGACAGCTAGTTTATCAGCTGCTGTCAAACCCTAATTAGATAAGATAAACATGACATTCAGGTGCTGGGAGAATAGGGTGACAGATGGGTATTGGAATAGGGTGCCATGTAAGTAGGGTGCCAGCTGGAAAGGATAATATGGTGCCAGGGTAAGAAGCCAGATGTGTACGGGTAAGATGACAGGTTAGTGATGCCAGCTGAGTAGGGTGCTAGCAGTAGGGTAGGGGGAGTAGGGAACTAGGGTAGGGTGCTGGACGGGAATAGAGGTAGGGTGTCAGGTAAGTAAGGTGAAAGGAGGGCAGGATGTCAGATAAGTAGGGTACTAGCCATGTAGCTTGCTACCTGGGTAGAGGATAGGATGCCAAGTGTGAACAATGTAGGCTGCAAAGTGGCAAGGCAAATGATGCCATGCCTAGGGTACAGCAGGTTGTATGGGAGAAATTAGAATGTCATGACAGGAGGGGTGGATGTTAAGTCTGGGGCTGTGGGTTTGGGTCCAGTAATGGTAGTGGTGCTGCTGGTGGTGCTGGGGATGGGAGTTTGGATGGTCGCGGCTCAGGTCTGGTCTGGTGTGGTCTGGTCCAGCAGGGGTTGGACCGAGTCAGGTCAGATCCAATGGGGTGCGGGGAGTGAGGTGTCAGTTTTGGTCTGGTAAGAAGGGCAGGAGCTGGGTTCAGCAGACAGGAAATGGGGAGCATGTCATCTCAGAGTCTATAGGTAAGTATGGGGTTAATTTAATAGTCATTCAGGAGTTAAACAATGTATTTCATAGCCTAAATTTTCCTGAGTAAATATTTTATTTAATTTAATCAAAAAAATCCAAAGTCTCCAATTTAGAAGCAGACATTTGGTGGATCCCACTCACAGGGGGATTACCCAGCAAATAATTCAACTTCCAGGCAATTCCTTCGGAATGTGTAACAAGGGGATTCCCCAGGGTCCCTATCTATACTTGCAAAGTGGCTGTCTGGCCATTGGAAAATACAGGCCATAATGTAGGTGGAAAACTAACTACATTATTCTAATATATATAACGACACTATTTTGAAACTGATTAAAAACCACAATTTTGCATAGCCAAATTCTCCTGATTTGTAATGCTCCCAAGGTATTTGCATCAATGCTACTTAACTGCAGCTTTCTGGCAGTGTCAAGGTCCTGTGGGGTAAGCAGAGGCTTTGTCAACTTGATTGAGTCCAAATATATTTAAAAAGCATTCAGACCTGGTAAAGTAATTTAAATATCCTTTATTAGCCCCTATCCTAAACTTCTCTTCTCATTCCTGCAACCATCATTGCTTCTGATCAGCCCCATCTTCCCCCTCATCACTCATCTGGCCAGGGACTGTCTACAGTCTAGAGACTATGTATGTATATAGAGATATTTATATGAATACGGTATATTTTTGGAATTAAAAAACATCAACTAGCCAAATCCAGCTTCCTGATATGTGATTTCCTGCTTACACTCATTGGCCATTCATCATTAGCATCAGCTTAGTGAGGTCAGGGGTTAATTTCAAAAAAATCATGCACATCTCATGATTTTAAATGTCTTTTCAGTATGAATAGAAATCAGGCAAACAAAAGAAACACATTAAGTATGTGCCTATATTGCACTTTCTGGAATGGCGCCATAATTTTTAAAGATCATTAAATTTCATAGATAAAACAGACCTTGCATCTCTTTTCATGTACATCAAATCAAACATATAAATTATTTACAATGACTTTCAGCATGTTTCAGATTCAATGAACTTTTTTTTAAATTTAGGACTACCCCCAATAGATTTCTGACCAAAAATATAGCATGATTTTATACATTCACTTGTTTTTAGAATATTTTGCTATTTTAAGAAAACAAATATCTTTTACAATTACTGTAGTCACCCGTTTAGAATAACAGACCAGGATTTTATGTAAAACACTTGAAAGTAAATCTTAATAGTAACACAATACATAACTCAAGCTAGAAGCAACAAATTGATACAAAATAAGCAAAGAAATTATTGACGCAAAGACATTGAGATAAATTAAGTTGTTCAGACAGTTTCCCAAACAAAAGGAGTACAATTACTTAAGACTTACAAACATGTCAGTTCTGTTACAAACCAAG